GACTGCTCCAGTTCCGGTATATGGAACGTGCGAGAGGGATAATTGCGGCTCGCCTGAAAATCAAAGGGACTTCCGTTTCGTCCGACATCTCCAACCCTTTCCGCCGTTTTTCGCCCCATTTTTTACCCTCCATCCGCCTATCTCACCCCGTTTTACCCTTCCTTCCGTGTCCCTGCCTCGTGTCTCCTTTGTATCCCCTTTTTTTGTCAAATTATCGGACCCGGTTTTAGGCTATTTTGACTTTCGGCAATGGGGCTATTTACGATCGCGAGCAATTCTCTTTACAGGGGGTTCAAAATTAGGTTAACCTAGTTACCTCCAATGCCTTTAACCCCTTGCATTATTTTAACGAGTCAAAATTTGTTCAATTCCAATTATAATTTGCATAGCCAATGATTGCATAATAACATATGGACATAACATTTCACATTTTTTGTCTGTGTTAATATTATAGCTCTAACAAGTCAGTTCTGACTGACGCACCTGACAAATAAGCCATAGTGGTTAACGAAGATTTTGTACGAGTGTTCGGTGATTCGAGACACCGATGGTAGAAATTAAAAACTGATCGACAAGGACTAACTTCCCTCTTTCCTCGAACGATATTAAATTGCCAAGAGACATCGACCGATACCTTTTTTTCAATCACTGAAATTGATTCGTCGCGACGCAACGCGAATGTTCTGACATTTTATCGTGATTAAAAAAAATATCCAGTCGTTTTTTTCGAACGGAGGAAGAACGATTTGCCGCGGCGGTAACGCGCGACGCTGTTGAGCCAGCAATAATTAATGGAGCTCACGAGAAAATCGTTTTCGCCTTCAGCTTCCTGACTTGACGCTTTCTAATCAGCACTCGTTCTCGCGCCCGCGGAAAGTGTTTCGAGATTCTACTTCATAATTCCACCATTCTTTATCATGTTTAATCTCCGCCTCGGATCATTCGTTCTCGCTCGAAATATAAACCTAGATTAAACTCTACCGCGACTTAAAACAGAAAACCTAAATATCCGAAGGATATTTCTTCAAAAGAGCAAAGCCTACGAGAGTCGATCCAGAAAATCAGAATCTACGTGACGATATATCACGCAGCATCATCAGACGGTCCATTTCAATCGGAGTCTATTGACGCGACATAACGCGTTGTCAGTTTTGATTGATATAACGTCGCTTGCGATAGGATGTCGTACAGACTTCATCCCTGATTTAGGGAGAAATCTTCGGAATGTCACTAGACAAATAGAGCGACCGCGTTGGATCTCCCTGGGTTACTCTCCTCTTTATCCGCGCGCTTTATTTTACTGTTCTCTTTCGGTTCGAGCCCTAGTGTGCCTCGCAACGCGACAATTAGTCCTCAATTATGAAACCTCCCTCGTGAGAGTAACGGGTGACCCGGAAAGCAAGGGTGGCGGAAGGCCGTTTAAGGACGCGTCAGATGTGTACTCCCCAGCCACCCGGTCGCTTTCTCTCGAGTGTGCGTCGAGGCTGTGCAGCCGATCGAATGCTTCTTATACACGCATACTTTTCGTGCCGATGCTAAACCGATGAAGGGTCGTCGCCGTCCGTAGGGGACTAACTGTTCTCTACGGGGTGCTTCGAAAGTGCTGGACCTTTTCCACTGATCGTTAACTTTTTATAACCTAAAAGCAAATTCGATGTAAAAATTTCGCACGTGTAAAATTATAAAAGAAAATATAAAATATTAAACATAAAATGATGATCACGGAAAACAATCTTTTCGACCAGCATCGACCGAGCAGTGTCGAGCAAATGAAAAGGGCAGAAAGGGTCACAGAGGCCAGCGAGAGATAATTAGATATTGATTTCGCATTAGAGTCGCGTTAAGATAGACGGCTATTCATTAACGTGTTATAACGGAAGGGGTCTTCGTTCATTGGCCGATCTATTAAAATCAAAGGATGGTCGAGACCTTCTGCATATTACTCGTTCGTCCAACTTTTCTCCCTTTCTCTCCATTCTTTTGCCTTTTCCCTTTGAAAAAGCTCCCCCTATTGTCTCATTCCGACTGCCTCACCAGCCCAGTTGTATCCCCGCTGATGAACCCGGAGATCTTGGATGTACCTTATCTTGCTCTATTTTTCTTCAAACAGATATTATTTTAAACGAGCATCTTGCAAAAATCTTCCTTTCTTCCCTCCATTTTCTTTGAAGCATGGAAATCGATAATGTAACATTTTGGTAAAGCGACGGAATCTTCTCAAATATTTAGCTTGCCAATTATTCTCGAATATCGGAATAAATTTGTAAATTTACCGTGTCTATAAAAAAGCGCTATTAATTTCGTAAACAAAATCGATTGTTTAAGAAATTTTTACGTGCTGGAGTACGTTCGAGACAAATTTGGGTCGCTGTTGAATCATTTAGTTAACAATGATCCGGGTCATGTCTATATTTAGCGGCTGTCGGTTGTACTACAATCCATTTCTAGGATTCGCAGCTCCAGGAATAAGAATTCTTTCTAAAGAAATAATCTTGAGGTGGTCAAGTGGTTACGGATAAGAATACACCTTATGGTTTATGCTCGGTTATCGATTATGCGAACGCATATAGATACCTTTCGAATTTGTCTTCACAGTCGAGCTTTCCTTCTTTTAGTTTCAAGCAGTCCTTACAGTTAATATCGTTTGAAACTTTCTTGTTTGAGTCTCAAATAACCCCTGTGCAGTTAATATTGCCTGAGGCCTTTTTGTTTCAGTCTAAACAGCAAGCCTTTTGCAGTTAGCACTGTTTGAGCCATTTACAGTCCGGTTTATTACGGTTAATACTACTTGAAGCATGGAAGTGCATTAATTACAACAAATCCAGATCGTAACGTCTCAAAGGTCCGACTACATTTCTCTTCCCTCGTTTCCTCATTGACAGGAAATTCAATTCCTTACAAATTCCGGAATGTTGGTAGAAAATTAATTAAATTAAAGAGATAGGAATTGAGTTTCGATGAAAATTACTGATAGAACAACGCGACCGGAGGAGAAGAAGAAAGTTTCTCGGCGTTTCCGTTCATTGGAGAGCAGTGTCGCAAACCTCGCTTACAGTCCGGCCCCTAAACGACGTCGTTTACTATTTTAATGACGTCATTAGTGGGATTTAAATAAACTTGTTCGCGAGCCACTTGGTCCTGCGGCCTCGCGACAGTTTTATTCGTCGTTGCCACCACGTTTGACCACATTTACAGTCCCATTACTGCTTCATTTTTCGCCAACTATCATCCCGCCATTATTTCCACGCGTTTTCGACCAACGTTCAAGTGGTAATTTGCATCAAACTTTAAGCTGAGAGCCACGAGTGCTATTAACCATTGTTTCAACCAACTATTTTGTATTAATTATATCTAAAACTTTGCTCGGTTATTTTCTATACACTTCAAGCTCTAAGCGAGTGATGTTTCATACTTTTATGCGATGAAATCAATCTGATACATCAGTTAGGTAGTCAGCCATTTTGTACTGATTACATGATTTTCATTAAAGTTTCAAATAAACGTGGCGCTAGTTTTAAGTCATGAGAGTATACTTGAAAATAGACCAGCTTACAATGTGTGTAACGGCAACGAACGCGTTAACGTTGCAGTTGGTGGAAACGCGACGGACTTAATAAAGCGTAAACGCGACAGATAATAACGCGAAATAATAGGTTGTGAAATGTTGAGCCGAATGGAACGTTTCCAGGCCGTGGTAGCTCGGGGGGTTGTTTTCGAGGGACAATATAAAAATGACGCGACAGAGCTGCTGCGTAGGCCTGACGACGGCGTCTTTTCTTTTCCGCTCTGTCTTCCATTGTCTCGCTTCCCGTTGAACTTGTGCACATGGCTCGCTCTCAAAAGCCGAGTTAGAGATTCTACGCTCGTCAGACGTCAACGAGAAGGCCGTGATATTTCGCGGTGATCTACTGTCAGTGATAGTCTCGAAGATGTGGGCGTTCAGTTTCAGCAAATGTTTTCAGCCTTATCTCTTCGTGTACACCTTCATTCACATTTACATCATAAGTAGCCTTGTAGATGTTGGATCGTTTTTAGCTATGAAAATAAAATATTGCATAATGTAGATTTTCGTTTCGAAAATAAAATTACTTTCTGTATTAAAATTTAAGTTTATAGTTTGTGATTGTATACTTCTTCAGTTATGCTTAACAGGACATTCATCTTATAGCTGAATATTAATTTAAATGGCTGACATTGCATAGCATTCTAAAAATTATTATACGCGCGTTGATGTATGATCTTTCCAGTTTCTTCGCAGAGATGCGTCATCCATGTTTGCAGAATGATTTCAACAAAAAATCAATGAGAGAAACACAAGCGTTTATTTGGTCGGCTTCGTATCACTGAATAGAACAGAGAATAATGGCAAGTTGCCGGATATTTGTGGGCGGCAACGTGACAAATATATATAATAAAAGCCGTGCTGTTCCGCTCCATATCACGATATTGATTTATAACAAGCCGATATCAGCAGCGGTGTTTTTGATTTCCATGCACAACGCGTGTTTACCGAAAATTTGATATCTCAATATGGATATTGAAATTGAAACTCTGGCCACCCTTGATTTCCCTACATTTATAAAAGTTTATACATTTTTAAACAAAGAGATATTCTCCCTGTTTGCTTTCAAATGTTTTCGCTCGTATAAAACATTTGTACAAAATATAATTCCCATTGTTAAAATTGGGGCTACTGATTAGATCATAATGACTATGAACGAGATCCAAACTATATAAACTTCGTTAATCAATACGCGATTGAAGAACGATGAATATTAATAAACGGTAAAATATCGGTGATATAAAGGCGTGGAGAACAATCAATCAGTTCCAACTGAATTCTCTTCAGACGCATCAACTCTGAACTTGATCCCATCCTCGTGATCAAAGGTCCTCATGTTCTCATGCAAAGCAGCCTAGTACATACATATATTCGCGTCGAGGAGCTGGCTGGGTTGCAGCTGCAACGAGCATGCATCCTGAAGAGGATAAGTACTCACTTTTCTGCGGCCGCAGCAGAGCATGGTTGCTGCACTGCAACCACGGCGAGCCGTCGACGAGAGTTGAGGCTGATGACAGACGTAGCTGAGTCGTGCGCCCCCTTCCCGCTGCAGCTGCACCACGCGCACCTGCAGCTGCACCTGCTCCCGCTCCCGCTGCCCTTGACCGACACCGACTCGACCACCGTACTTGATGCGCACGTGTTTTCGCCACTGCATGAGTTCGGTGCGTCATGCCCTCTTCCTGAAATTCATGCATCGATTAATAAACTAGATCCGTAACATTTAAGAACAAGAGAAATAATCTTGTACGGCACTGATCGCTGCACGCACGGCCAATAAAGTATTCCAGGGTGCAACGTAGGGTTATCTCAAAAATATGAGCAGGATTTAACTTGAGTAGCGTAACGCGAGGTGCGTGGAATGCCTCATGTATTATTTATGTGTCTTATAAGAAATTTAGAAATTTTTAAAAGGGCAAATGGAAGGCTCCGCCCCCTAATCTTATCCGTAAGTGGCCTATGTTGCACCTGGGTGTACCTAATGGTGTAATATACTGTGTTAGTGGAGCAGCTCGTAGTCGCAAATTTTTGTAGAAGCTAAAGGATTCCAGGAGTTACCTCCTCCCGGAAACGAGGACAAAACGATCGATAACAGGAGAACCACCGTTGAACGTCTGTATAATCTCGACCGTGTAACGCACACTACTCCCTTCTACTACTTATTTTATGTTAAAACGAAACCGTAGTATCCTCTTCGGACTTTAATGAACTTTTGCACATTCATGGATTACGTCATTACTAATAACGCGATCTATTAACATGCAAAAAGTTATTAAAATCTGAAGAGGATATTTAAGAACTGATTCCCTTAATAAGTAGTAGAATCACTTATTTTTGTTATGTGTGTGGAATATCTAATGGTTCTTAATAATTCAACAAAAACGAGGAAACAATTCTTTAAAGTGTCAGAATCTGATTGTTGAAATTAGACAACCTGTGTAGCCTTGACAGAAGCGAAAAAACGGTCTGGAGAAATACGAGATCTTTGGATTGACCTAATAACTCTATTTCCCAATAGTCAATACCCGGGTGAGTTAATTTATTAACGGAGATTCATCAATTCGTCTCCCAAATGATCGAGTGATTTTAATTTGGCACGCGATACGTACATTCCCTGGCCTCATTCTACGCTTGTCCTCGTTTTCCCTGGCATTTCCCATTCTGTATTCGTGGTTTCTTTTTTTTCTATCGATAAAACAGAGTCGCGGATACATCGATTATCGAGGTATTCCGTATTTCTTCCACCGGTTTCATCTTAATGAATTTTTAATAAAGTAAGCTACGCTGATTAAATCCGCACTCGTTAATTAATTGATCGTTTATCTCGAGTCTGCTCATAATGCACTATTTTTTACACCAGTTCCTGGTTTATCCTAAAAAGAAAAAATTTAGTTAAACTTAGTAGTGTTGACATTTGTGATCATCTTTAGATACTTGAATCTCTACATTCCCATACATTTTTAAATAAATTTTATCTCTGTTTGTATCTCCCTGTACTTGCAGCTTGCAACCTTACATCTCCATTTACTTGTACACTAAATCTTAACATCCCTACACCCTTAAACTATATTTAAATAAATGAATCAACTCTTTCTAGTAAATAAAACATAATGTAAACGATGAATTAATGACGTTATAAATAAAAAAACTACCAAGTTTCAAAGTCCTTAGAGCGAACAATCGATCGCACGTGGCTACGTGCAATCACAGTTCAGTCAGGGCCACAAGAGTTATGCCAGGAATCTCATAGGCAACGTCCATCACCGCTGAACGTCTTCAATTCAATCGGGTTACTATGCATACGACATTCTGTGTCAAGCTCGCGGTGGCTCATTAAGAATCAATGAAATCCTGAACCGCGTGGGGCTGTCGTGAGGCACAACCTTGACCTCCCTTGACGGGTCTTCCCCTAAAAAGGGGTTGGCCCCTCGTGCACCGGGGATATTTGTTGGATAATCCCGTTTCGCTTCAACTTCTTTCGACCAATTAATGCAACGACCCACTTGCTAAAACTAAAAGAAAACGGTAACTAAAAAGAACTAAATAAAATTGTAACGTTACAGTACTGTTTACCAGTTGCGTTATTTCATACGTGACTTGTTCGCTTCGTGATTTATTAATTGGAGCTTTTGCTTTCCGCGTTTCCCTTTCCTTCATAAAATAAACAAAACCGCAACAAATAGAACGTAAATATTCAGAACCATAATATTACAAGACTGAAACAGTATTACAAAATCCTCGCTTAAATAAATAATCTCTAACCACAGAACATTTAACACACAAATTACAAGAATATCTTTTTAAAACATTTAGTCGTTTGTTAACGTTTAAATTTCAAAGTGGAGTTTCATCGGCGCTCGCATAATCGATGCATATTCGAGGCACGCACAGAGTGCTCGGCACGGGAACTGGTGTAAATTCGTTTCAGACTGAAATATCGTGTTGCATCGCAAAGAAGAAACGATCGTGTTCAGAAAGTAGACACATCATGCAGATAATTCGTATTTCCAGAGTAATTTGCGAACAGTGCAATTCTCTGGGCACACTTGTCAGTTTCAAGATGCCATACACATTGAGAGAACGATGAAAGTATGAGGCATGCTTTATCGGTACCTTCTAAAAATCATTTCTCGTGCGAAGGGCCGACGGGTCCCTGCTCGAGTAGATCTGAATGGTTTCTCTCATTCTGATTCACGGGTCACCCTCTCCCACTCTCCTGAAACACAGGAAAGATTATTTCTTTATGACTGCATTCGCATGAATCTGATTGTAGACCAAAGACACAGATTACATTCTAACTTTTAAAGTCTACACTCTCACATTCTAACCATATATACAAATATTTTTCTTTCAAAAGAACTTATTATAAAATAACTGTTAAAATACAGAAATAGTTACAATATAATTGTTGAATGTGTTTATAAGAACTGAAGTGATAAATGCTGTATCAGAATTTAAAGCAGCTATTTCTTTTCAAGATAATTCTATGACTATCAGACGTCTACATTTCCAGAAGGCAAGTCCCATCGACGTATTTGAAAACCTTCTCGGTGAAAATTCGAAAAACTCGCGTAAGCGTTTGGGTTCGACAGGCAAACGGGCAATAAAGCTTCCCAGGCATCTCCATGGGGAAACGCCGGCGTTTAAGCAAGGGAGTTTTCAATATTAAATAAACTCGATACTCCTATCCTTCTGATATCCATTTGTCCTGCCTTTTCAATAAACAGCACATTACAAAATCCTGAACAGCCCTAACCATTTTGAGTACAGAATTTTTAACTATTGCAAACATATTCTATTACACAATTGCAGTAATTATTTAAATGCTTTGAACAAGCCTTATCTCTGAACAAAATATTTCAAGTAGAGTACTGAATCTCTCATTCTAATTATGCAATTAACAATGAAATCTTTCTTACTAGCTCACGTAATGATTCGTCCACGAACATTTAAAACGAAGAATAAAAAATCACCTATGTCCCGCACAATCAGAGCTGACAGGTCTGCCACGCTCATGACATAATTGATAAAAAAATAAAAAAGCAGAGGATAAAAAATTGTCCACGAGAAGGCACACGCGCGCGTGCACGCGAGATTGACTGCACAGGCCACGCCAAGCGTAACTTAACAACAACGCCGTACACGCCACTTAACGCTCAACGTCGCGCGACGATTTTTCGTACTCTTTGAAGACGCGACTTTCACGGGGATCACGCGGACTCAAACTGCGCGAAAACCTACATGGCGTCGTTCAAATAAAGACTACTGCGCAAAATCTTTGTCGTAAAGGAGATTCGATCGTCTTTTGGTCCATGTGACATCTATCACTTTCCCAATAGATCAAACTTAATCATTTTCCTCTCAGAAAGAAGAATGGAAATTGCTCATATTTAAAACCTTCTGATTCTATAGTCAAAATAGTTGCAACTACTTACACTGATATGAGAAAAAAATGAATAACATGCTAACTTATAGGCAACAATTTTACCCTACTGAGTAAGTTGAGTTTATGAAGTGAATTGATGAAGAACATTGCTTAAAATAATTGAAAAGTTTAAATCAAAAAATGTTTCAAATTGCCTCAGAGTTATTTTAGAAGAGATAGGACTATTGGTTTTAAACAGTTTACCAAAGAAGTCATAGCTGATACTTGATACAATAGGATGAAAAGAACCAACGAGATTTGCCACGTCGGCATTCAACTGGTTCCTGAACATCATTGTCCAATTCCGCTTTCCGTTTCACGTTCTATCGATTACGAAGACACAAGGAGACTCGTGGCAATGAAGAAATATAAAACAACACTCGTAGAGATCTACATAAAGAAGAAATTATCTTCGATCTAAAGAACGATGATCTATTTCTTGATCCTGATCTCGAGTCAAGAACTTTACGCAGATACTTTTTTCTAGAGGAATAAAGACGGGCACACCGGTTGCTTTAACGATATCATTATCTTCAAAGAAAGTTATAGGAGGTGGAAAGTAAAGCTATTTATACGCTCCTCTGCTTTTCGCCCTAGGGGTGTCGTTATTCTAATTATGGATTTCTCCCGTATAAAGCGAGTTAGGAATAATTTTATCAGAGAAAAAGAAATAAAAATCGATTTCGAAAAGAGTGGTGTTAAAAACCAGGAATCATATCTGAACAAAAGATGCTTCGGTGTAGACGGTTTAAACTTATTAACTGTGTCTTTGATCTACTGGAAAATAAGCCTATTAAATGTTCTGAAGCACAACTGTGTACATTACACAGACACAATTGCCTTCACGTGTTAATATCCTCACTTCTATGATTTTATCAATAGAAAGCAATAATAGATATTCATATTGAATATTTAGAAACGTTTCAAATTACCCAGACAGATCAATCGTCTAGGTAATTAATTACTTGAAACTGAGAAGATGAAAGAAGACGATAAAATTATATAAAATAACTACGGGAAAGTGTGATAAGATGGCAATAAACGCGGCAGAAGCTCGCGGGGCACAATTTCGGATTGCACGGCAGCGTAACCAAGCTTCGATCGATAAGGGATAGGTTTAAGGGCGAACGGCTAGATTAAGCACGGCGATCGCAAAGGTCTCTCTTCTCACTCTTCATCGCGTACGTCTCTGGAACGTTTAGCGAGCGACACCTGTCAGTGGACGTGGACTCGTGACGAGAACACGGCGTGCATGGTTCTAAAATAAAAGAAACAAGCGACAGAAATGAAAAAGAAAATAAGGAAACTGGGTATATGAACTAAGCGAAAAAAAAGGGGAGAAAGACTAGGAGGGAAAGGGCGCAAAGAGAAAAAGTAAAAGAAAAGAAGAAAAAAAAAGAGGGAGAGTAGGCGAGTGAAGCACGATTTCGTGGTGGCGTGCCAGAGCCGATGGTCCCGGACCAGCCGATCGATATACCCTTTTTCGAGAGTGCCTTCAACCGACCCTCCCTCGGCACGCTGCCACGTACCGCCTTCTTCGCCTCTTCTCGAGGAATACACGCGTGTCGCCGCTGCCCCGAAATCGTGGCTCACCGAACGAACTCTCGCGTGCAACTTCTTCGACGTACCTTTCAGCGGCGACGACGAGCAGCTTCGAAGCCCGGGAATCCCGCTGGATGGTGGCCGAGGCTGTCTCCTCCGATTTTTCAGCGGCCAAGAAGGAAGCGGCACGAGTCTTCCGGTTGCAGCTTTCTCACCTCACCGTATAACGCCACGCGGGAATCAATACGCGCGCCTGCCTCAAGCTTCTCCTTCTCTCTCTTTCTCTCCCACACGCTCACTACTACTCCTCCGGCTTGTCTCTGTCTCTCCCCGGCTCTCCCTGTCTCTTCCGCGGTTCTGCACTCCCACGAGCACTCTATCCGTCCCTCCGTCGTAGTTCCAGTCTCTCCAGAGGCTGTGCCACCTCGTGCACTGCGAGAACGCGGGACGAGAAACGAGCCTGCCTCCTGAGATCAATCGTCTAGGTAATTAATTACTTGAAACTGAGAAGATGAAAGAAGACGATAAAATTATATAAAATAACTACGGGAAAGTGTGATAAGATGGCAATAAACGCGGCAGAAGCTCGCGGGGCACAATTTCGGATTGCACGGCAGCGTAACCAAGCTTCGATCGATAAGGGATAGGTTTAAGGGCGAACGGCTAGATTAAGCACGGCGATCGCAAAGGTCTCTCTTCTCACTCTTCATCGCGTACGTCTCTGGAACGTTTAGCGAGCGACACCTGTCAGTGGACGTGGACTCGTGACGAGAACACGGCGTGCATGGTTCTAAAATAAAAGAAACAAGCGACAGAAATGAAAAAGAAAATAAGGAAACTGGGTATATGAACTAAGCGAAAAAAAAGGGGAGAAAGACTAGGAGGGAAAGGGCGCAAAGAGAAAAAGTAAAAGAAAAGAAGAAAAAAAAAGAGGGAGAGTAGGCGAGTGAAGCACGATTTCGTGGTGGCGTGCCAGAGCCGATGGTCCCGGACCAGCCGATCGATATACCCTTTTTCGAGAGTGCCTTCAACCGACCCTCCCTCGGCACGCTGCCACGTACCGCCTTCTTCGCCTCTTCTCGAGGAATACACGCGTGTCGCCGCTGCCCCGAAATCGTGGCTCACCGAACGAACTCTCGCGTGCAACTTCTTCGACGTACCTTTCAGCGGCGACGACGAGCAGCTTCGAAGCCCGGGAATCCCGCTGGATGGTGGCCGAGGCTGTCTCCTCCGATTTTTCAGCGGCCAAGAAGGAAGCGGCACGAGTCTTCCGGTTGCAGCTTTCTCACCTCACCGTATAACGCCACGCGGGAATCAATACGCGCGCCTGCCTCAAGCTTCTCCTTCTCTCTCTTTCTCTCCCACACGCTCACTACTACTCCTCCGGCTTGTCTCTGTCTCTCCCCGGCTCTCCCTGTCTCTTCCGCGGTTCTGCACTCCCACGAGCACTCTATCCGTCCCTCCGTCGTAGTTCCAGTCTCTCCAGAGGCTGTGCCACCTCGTGCACTGCGAGAACGCGGGACGAGAAACGAGCCTGCCTCCTGCAGGAGGCGACTCCCGCGACTTCTTTAACGCCTCGACCAAGCCAGCCGAGACGAGACACGCGTTGCGCGGACCAACTTCGCACGGAAACCGAGCATTCGCCTGACGACGGTGTGCAACGCACCGCGCCGCATAACCACGACTACCTGGAGCAGCCGGGCGGACATGTTGGTCGAGGGTACTGCGCACACGCGCCCCCGGCACTTCTCTTCTTTTCGCGTACTCGCCACGGCCCTCGCTCCTCCAGACGACGCTCAATCAATTTTTCTAACGGACGAAAGTCGATTTTCGAGTTCCTTCTTCTATTTCTTTTTCTATTTTTCAAGATTTCTTCTCACCGCAAACTGATGCTGACACACCTACGGACCAAGTTTTTGTTAGAACAGGAGGATACTTTTCAGAGAGAGATTAACGACGAAATATGGGCTATTGTTACTTTGAGAGCTCAATGAGTTTATTGATTTCGACGTGACTGAACTAGTTGAATATCTTTTAGCTTTTTTTTTATTTAATGCAACAGGTTATTTGAATTCATTCATGAATTTTTTGTTTGAAAGGTGGTCGAAATACTTTTGTTAAAGAAGTGATTATTACTGATTTCTCTAGGGTGATATTGTCGTGTTTTATAATAGATTCGAGAACGAAAAAGTTGTACAATGCTAAAGCTAATCAATTGTCCTACTGATTTTACTTTTCCTTCTTACTGCTTTGAACATTCTTGCGAAATTTACTTTTACATTTTTAAATGTTCAATTTTATTTCCCTGTCCTTAATTCATTTAAAACATTCATGACCCTACGATTGTTTCAAATAAAATCGACTATGGAGTTACACGAAAATGAAAAAACTCTGTAAGATTTCCCTTCGATGCGGAAAAGAAAAAAGCAACCGTAACTCTTGGCGAAAACTAAAATATAGATTCGCCTAGAAAATTGATTCTGTGCCACTGTGCGACGAGTCCTGACTCCTTCTGCTCGTTCTCAGGCTGTCGAACCCTCGCACGCAGACGTCGAAATTTTTCTCTTCCGCTTTTCTCTCCTCCTCTCGTCGACGACAGTGACGGAGGAGCGTATGCACCTAGCTACGTCGATTTCAACGGCTCCAACGAGTTGTATTAAATTTCTTGCCCCATGGTAAATAGCGTTCCATACGAAACAATACTTACTTCCGTGTCTTTTTGCTTCTCGAAGATTCCGCAACCAATAGAATTTTTGCAGAATTCCTTCGTTAAACTCCTCGCTTAAAATTTTATAGCCGGAACGATAATGGTTCGTGGTAAAAGTAGTTTCTACTTTTTACGTCTAAAACGTGGAGAGAAAATTACATGTTGCTTCGATTTTCAAGGAAGAAATACAAATGTTTCTCTTCGTTTAAAGTCCATACCTCGTTTGAATAGCAATTTGCATGTTCAGGATTGACGTTGTTCGAATTCCAGTGACCCCGGTTCAAGCCAGTATATCCTGTTTCACGTACAGATTTTCCAACGTTGAGCGTTGAAACTGATACACTCTAGCTGAAAGACAAGTAACTTTCATCGATCTTGTTCGGTGATCCCATCATCCCCTCCGACTGCAGGGAATCCTCTCTCGTTTTTGCGTTTAATTGCTCGTCACGGCGATGAGGCTCAAGCCTCTGAACCCGAATAAATTTGAAAACGGTTCTCGGGAAATTTTATCGAACGTCAAGAAAAAAGCTCGTCCAATCTTTTCTACAATCAATGAGTACGAAATCAAAGCTGCACAATTATAATTGTTTCATTACAGAAATTTGCTAAATTATTATTTTTACCACAATCAATTTGATCCCGTTAGAGTACTGTTGTCGAATTTTCACTAGTTTTCAAGATTCAATCACTAGCAGTGTTTGGGGCCAAATTACTGCATCTATAAATTGTGTAGGAGGATCTTCCTGACTTGTTCGTTCCGTTGGGACAATTTCTCAACGGTCAGCAGGGCCGGCACGAACAGAGTTCACCCTGGTACTTTTAAAAGCTCCATGATCTGTAAAAAGTTCATAGTAATCTTAGAGTTGTATAATAATATACATATATAACATTTATAAACATTTAAAAATATTACGAGTTTCAAATATTCCAATCTTGAAATGTCCTAAATTTTGAGTTAGAAGCTTTTCAAGTCTAAGGCGTTTTAAGCTTTAAGCACTCCAAGTTTGATGCGTTCTGAGCTCGGACTATTCAAGTTCCAAAGTTTGAGGTGTTTTAATCTTAAACCGTTCCAATCTGGACGCGTTTCAATGTTGAAGTGTTTTAATCTTGAGGCGTTCCAGGTTTTAGGAACCCATCTCCGCAAATGTTCGCACCAGCCCTGACGGTCAGGGTCGGCTATTATGGTTTTCTCCCCGAAATCACGTGCAGTAATCACCGTATTTTACGAGGTGCCGTGAAGTAGCAAGTATTAGGTCGATACAGCAGACCTAGCCACGACGCCGCTTCTGAGACACGTTGATTGCGGGCTGCGTCGCTAATTTTTTTTCTCTCCCCCCGGGTGAAAGATCGCAATCAGCTGGCAATTGTCATACAACCGTTGCACTGGAGACTGCACTGCGCGCTAGACTGTATGTTAAAGAGGAACTCGGAGGAAATACGGTCTACCATGATCAGACTGGTTTATCAAACGTTTTCTGGAATTTTCTGAAATAAAAAATGTGAAATGGTAACTTAGGGATTTGTCTTGTAATCATTTGTCATAAATATGCAATGCTAATTAAAAGAGAAAAAATTCATTCTAAAAAAATAATAACAAAAGTTCTTGCACCATATCTTTTTATAGAAACTGATGCGAATCTAATCTAAATCCATTTCACATAACTAAGATTCAGAGAAGAATCCAATTTCTCGCAAGTTCTCGTTCGATCAACGTCTACGATTCGTTTCTCTTTCAATTAATTCTTAAGCACGCTAGAAGAGTGTAATTCTCGTACAGTTGGCATCTTATCAAGTAAATTCATTCAAGTGATTCAGGAAGATCCGACGAAATTCGAAAGTTAAGTCACTCTCTCCGTTGTCATTCCCATCGAGCCTAAACGTCCTACTTCCGGTTCGGCTATTCTGGCCTGGATCGATTGGGGAGACCGCCTCGTGTCAAAAACACTCGGCAGAAAGACGTCGCTCGTCGATTCCACGACGAGCCAGCAGATTTGTTCATAAATTTTAGAATGGTCTCTAGCTGAACCAAACATCTTCAGTTTCCCTAGACAGTACACGCACTTCCATTGAAATTCAGTTGCATCTGACTATAATTATTCATTGTGGTCCAATTGCATTCCCATGGCAGAAGTAAATTAATTCGGTAGAGGATCACTGACAATGAGTACCTAGAAACATATCGGTATCAGTTCTGTGTCTCATTATACCTTCTGTTTAATGTTTGTGGACTTACTTAAAGTAGTTTAAGCGCTGTTCTTTAAGTATTGTTTCGTGCTGACTGGATACTGCTTCAGGGACTGACTAAAGTGGCTGCTTCAAGTAGTATAAACTGCGAATACCGCGACCTAGGAGAACAAGTTGATCATTCACCGATGGAAGGCCTCTGATTCTTCTTTAATTATGTTAAATTATATTTAACTACGGCATTGTTTAAATTTATTGTCCCTCAAGGTACGTGTTTAACAATGGCTGTGGAGGCTGGGAGTACAATCCCAAATTAAATACTCAATTTTATAAATGTGCTCCTCGATAAAAAGAATTAAGGCAGTTTTTGGTTCGATTTGGGTTAATCTGTCTAGTTAACAGCAGAGAGAATCGCAAGGACTTAATAATTCCCGATGTATGCCGGCCCTGCCACTCGACCTGGAGTACGATGCTGTGATTGGACGGCATTTGAATGAATGCCATCCGGCATTCACACCTTTTTTCAGCCCCTTCCTTTCAGCCGCGACCCCGTCCACTGTGAAATCCCCGATGTACTCGAGAGTTACGGTAGTTGACACGCGAGCAGCGTAAGCGTGTGCTTGCGTGTAGACCTCCACGTCACGCACACGAGCGAGCAGGGTCGTAGCAATGCCTTTTAGCACCACAATTCCAGACACGTTAACGGTACAATACATCATCTGTGTACTGATACCATAAAACCACCTTACTAACGCATACAGACGCCAGTAAAGTGATTCAGATAATCAGTAACTAATTTGCAATATCGTTATGTATTCTGCGTTAATTGCTTAATGCAAGACTGATTGAGTTATTTTAATAAATGATCCTCTGTAGCTTAAGTATATTGCGATTAACTTTTGATGTTAACAAGGAAAAAGAATAATTTTAGGGAAGAGTAAGAGAGAGAGCAGCTTCTGCTTGAAGATACGTAAACTTCAACAGAAAGATTTTATCGGATAAATTTTAACAGATTCAAAGGTTCCGCTTTAATCTCGGCTATTCCTTGATAGTCCAAGAATAATATCGATTATTTATTACGATACAGAGGTTTCACCCTCCAAAGGTATTTCCACGAAAGCCGCTCCCCTCGCGCCGCGCTCACTCTCTCTCCCTCTTCCCAGGGACAGATTTGCATCGTCGAAAATTAATCGTTGTCGGCCTGGAAAAGTGTGTCAAACGTCTCAACCGATCGATTATTACGTTCGTGTCGTACGTCCTGCCGATTGGTTCGTATTATCGTCGCTCTGGCGATTCGAGTCCCTACCAGTGACTATCAGAAGACTTTCAGTGCACCGTCCAAAACTGAAAGTTATTAAATCGTGTCGAAAGCTTCTATATATCCTTAAAAGCTTCCGAAATGTTCAGCTATTAAAAAATTGACAAAGATGTTGCAACAGTTGTGCTCTTTGAAGTTTGCAAAATGTAAAATTATGCATAGAAAACAGATGCTTTCTAAGCTTATGAAAACTTCGTGGTCCCTCAAATTCATCAAGTCCATGCAACTCTTTAAGACTTTCAAGACGGTCGACGTAACTCTGAACTTTATACGCGATTAAATCGTTCGAAAATTTGCGACATTAAGAACTGAATGTTTGCCGGTAGCTCTCGCCAACTTTCAGCAAACTCTACAACGATTTACAATTCAAATCAAAACGGCTAGACAACGAGAAAGTTAGCGAGATTAAGAATTGAATATTTGCTGGTGCCCATTCGCGAGGCGACCGAAGTTGATACGTCACTGGTACGCATACGTCGATCGAGGCGAGCGTGCAGCTTACATACGAATAACGACAACGACGACGGCGACGACGACGTCGATGTCTACAACGACGACAACGACGACGAAGACGACGACGCCGTCGACGAGGACGAGGACGAGCGAGGACGCATTACACCCCCACCATTACGTACTACGAAATACTACGTTCTGTGATGCGGTGCAATTAAGCCAGTAACCCCTCACCCCCCACATCCTAGGTCGTCCTCGCCCCCTCCAGCAGACTTCGGACCAGCAGGGGCGCAAGTCCGTCTCTTCTTTTACGGCCCCTACCGCTACTGCCGTTTATCCATTCGTTCATTCATCAGAACACACTTCTTTAACCGGCTCTCGTCGCTCGAACAACGTAACCGTGGAGAGAGGAATGCGGTTGCTTTGTACCAAACTTCTTGCACAGGCTTGACTCCTTAATTTTTCTTCAACTTGACTGAAAGTTAAGTACAACAAACTCGTCTGAATAGTTGGTTAAATTAAATTTAAATGTATAAATAAAATTGTAAGGTTTAATGATTGGTTACCTTTAATCAAATATTATAATGAATTTCGATATATGGCCTTCGATGGAAATTAATTGTGTCGCATTTTCATGCTATAAAAACCAAAATGTGTGTTTGTGAATGCGTACAATTTCAATTAAACGCAAATAATTACTTACGCTGCCATTCCGATTGACACAGTATTACGACTGAACTGATCTTCAAAGATACGGTTTAAATTTTCGATTATCGAAAGCAGCACTATTTCGATTGTTTTCGATAGTGACAGTTAGCAATGATGAGTATACATATACATATACATATCTATATATAGATATACAACATGCACTAACAAATAACAATCACTTATATAAATTAATAGCTTGATATCTTTCGATATTCAATTAAAATAAAATTGATGACACAAAACAAAAAAGCCTGATTAAAATATCATTGCAATATGGGAGATCATCAAATATTCCTAACCTTACGATTCAAACTATCGATCGATCTTTTAACGACCGACATTAAATATTTTTATATACCGATTAAACTACCTTAAATCAACAATAATTAAAGTGTAAATAATTATAATTTATAAACAAGTACCTCTCCATCGATGTAACGCTGAGACATTCTCGTTTCTTGCAACAAATTTGACCTTCGGAATTTTACGTATTCGAAGATTTTACCATAATTTCGAAAACCTCTGATGATTCTTTTCTTTTCAATCGCAAATAACATACATGAATGTTTAAAGTTGTGATTAACTCCTGGAATGAAACGGTAAGTTCTACACGTGTCACGCTGGTACACAGTTTTAAATATCGCGCAGTGATTCCTTGCAAACTTCTGATCTTTTAGGTACAGCCATCTATTGAGTAATCTTATAAACTATGATTTGACGGCATTGACTAGTCAATGTTGACGGCTTCACCTTTATCCATGCACGTGTGTCTGCGTGTTGCACGGATCGTTCGATTTTTGGCGCACAATTAGGTAATTTCTGGAAGTTATTTTAAGATCGGTGCTCGAAGGAAGCACAGCGAAAACGAAGAATTGAATGATATATATTATCGCTTATTCTAAACGTGAGTCAGTGTTAAAGAATGATCAAAGTTTCTTTTGTCTCAGCTGGAGGTGTTCCTTTTTTCATTATTTCAACTCTTTTCCTTCGCTCTACCTCATTTAGCTTCTATTCTTATTTCATAGGTGTTGTGTTTGCAATCTATTGACATTGTTTTCGAGCCCGCTAATGGAAATTGGAGAAATACAGCAGAAGTCTAGCTATCCTGGTCTCTTTTCTCTCTGTCTTTGTCTTCCTTTTTCTGTCGCCCTACTTCGTCTCTCTCCTTCTGTCTGTCTATCTCACCCTAGTTGGCTCGCGCAAAAAGCCGTTTCCAACGATGGGGATTTATTGAATTTTCGAATTCGACGTTGCATTGTATCCGGATTTCTTTTGACGCACGTGCTAACGTATTCCTAACCTACAGCTTACGTAACATGTATTCCCGGCTGTATTTCGAGGGTGCGTGAAAGGACACATCACGTATTTCATGATATTTCAGACTAACAATGCCGTCCGACGCAAAAAAGAAACAACAGCAGAAGAAAAAGGAGGCGGCTAAGGCTAGACAGTCTGGAAAAAAACCACCTCAATCTGCAGCTCAGACAAAAACCACAGAAGATGGTAAAGAGTCCAGCCCTGGTGTGGGAGTCATTCAGAATGGAACCAATGGAGCTCCCATCAGTGCAGAAGGTAAAATTGTACATTTATTTTTTACAAGTTTCAAAGACACAATGTAAACTCTTCCTTTTGTTACAGAGGCTCTATGTTTGAAGTTGGAGGCAGATGCTAGACTCAACGCAGAAGCACGTTCATGTACAGGATCATTGGCTTCGCATCCACGTAGTAGAGATATAAAGATATCTAATTTTTCTATCACTTTCCATGGCTGTGAATTGCTGCAGGACACTATGTTGGAGTTAAATTGCGGTAGACGTTATGGCTTACTTGGACTTAATGGCTCTGGAAAGTCTACTTTGTTAGCTGTACTTGGAAATCGTGAAGTTCCTATTCCTGAACAGATTGATATCTTTCATTTGACTAGAGAAATGCCTGCTAGCAATAAAACAGCTTTAGAGTGTGTGATGGAAGTTGATGAAGAGCGTATTCGGTTAGAAAAACTTGCTGAGGAACTGGTAGAATGTGATGAAGAAGATGCTCAGGTATATTCCTGTTAAAGTGATTTTGTATTCTGTTGTTATAATTAATGTAATTATATACATAAAAATGTTTGTTTCTATAGGAGCAACTTATGGACGTCTATGAAAGGTTAGAAGATATGACTGCTGATACAGCAGAAGCTCGTGCTGCTCACATTTTACATGGTTTGGGTTTCACCGCAAAGATGCAGAAAACGCCTACTAAGGACTTCTCTGGAGGTTGGCGAATGAGGATTGCTCTTGCTAGGTACATAGAGATTATGGATTATTGACAAAACATTTTAACAATTACTGAATGAAGGTGGTCATTTTTTACAGAGCTTTATATGTGAAACCTCACTTGTTGTTACTTGATGAGCCTACCAATCATTTAGATCTTGATGCTTGTGTATGGTTGGAGGAAGAGTTAAAAACATACAAAAGAATTCTGGTGATCATTTCTCATTCTCAAGATTTCCTTAATGGCATTTGTACAAATATCATTCATGTTAATAAGAAACAGTTAAAGTATTACACTGGTAATTACGAAGCCTTTGTTAAGACAAGAATGGAGTTGTTGGAAAATCAAGCAAAACAGTATAATTGGGAGCAAGATCAGATTGCTCATATGAAAAATTACATTGCACGATTTGGTCACGGATCCGCAAAATTAGCGAGACAAGCACAATCTAAGGAAAAAACTTTGGCAAAAATGGTGGCACAAGGTCTTACAGAGAAAGTTGTTAACGATAAAGTATTGAACTTCTATTTTCCTTCTTGTGGAACTATTCCACCTCCTGTTATAATGGTACAGAACGTCAGTTTTCGTTATAACGAAGATTCACCTTGGATTTATAAGAACTTGGAATTCGGTATAGATTTGGACACCAGAATTGCATTGGTTGGTCCAAATGGTGCTGGAAAAAGTACTCTTTTAAAACTACTGTACGGAGATGTAAGTCTGATGGTTTTTCCATTAACATAAATGATAAAAATATGTTAAATTATTCGCATTTTAATATATAATTACAGTTAGTTCCAACAAGCGGCATGATACGTAAGAACAGTCATTTACGGATTGGAAGATATCATCAACATTTGCACGAACTACTAGATTTAGATATGTCACCTTTAGATTACATGATGAAAGCTTTCCCGGATGTTAAGGAACGTGAAGAGATGAGGAAGATTATTGGTCGTTACGGATTAACGGGTCGTCAACAGGTATGATTGCTTATTATTGCTTATGGTCTAATTGAAGGAATTCTTATCGTGCTATGAATTTAGGTGTGTCCAATACGCCAATTATCTGATGGCCAACGATGTAGAGTGGTATTTGCATGGCTTGCTTGGCAAGTACCTCATTTGCTTCTTCTTGACGAACCTACAAATCATTTAGATATGGAAACAATCGATGCATTAGCTGACGCTATAAATGACTTTGACGGTGGAATGGTTCTAGTGTCTCACGATTTCAGATTAATTAATCAGGTACGGCTGACATAAGAAGTGAAACTATATTGTTTATAACAATGTCATGCTTATATTTTCTTTATTGTTAGGTTGCAGAAGAAATTTGGGTTTGTGAAAACGGAACCATTACAAAATGGAGTGGAAATATTATAGACTATAAGGAGCATCTTAAAAACAAAGTTCTTAACGATAACCAAAAGAGGCAGAAAGATCTACATAGAAGCAAATAATGTAAACAATAGTATCTTTTTCCATTTTACTGTCCCTCTATTATGGCAACTTATCTCTTCCCTTTTTTTGGACATTTTTTCGCATCTGACACTGAGTTCGCGCTGCTGTGTAGCGTCAGATCAGTGATTGAGAATTTCTTAGTTAATTTATTTAAATGGTACAGCAAGTCTCTCTGTGACAACATATAAAATTAATGCTAGGTATTGAACGTCAATCATGTACTGGAAGAAATATAAATTGGATACATACATACGTAAATACATAACACACACACACTCAACACACGTACGCATAAATTATTACAGAGTATAACAGAAATAAAACACGTTTAAATATTATATAAACACGAAAAATACTCAATTTTTCTCTTACAGTTCTACTTTATTATAAATTCCTATTTATCTATAAATTAATTTGATTCTCGTAGATATAAAAAATATATGTGTATAAACAGTTATAAATACCTAATATAGTTGACAAAATGACATCATTCTCGAAATATAATTTTCATCTCAGGTATATATAAAAATACTCTGATCTAGTATTAAAGGAAGACTAAAAGATCGCGTATATCCATATCACAAAATGTCTCTGGTGTTCTTTATCGTGAAAATATTTGAACATATATAAATATATATCCTACGATATTTTTTAATACGTCACGAACATAATGTACGCATTTTTGTAACAATTATGATTGCATAACATGTAAAACACAAAATATTGTCAGTAGAAAACGAAGTTGCACTGTTGGGTTTTGGACCTTCACGTAATAAAAAAGATACATAATACTATGTATACCTTTAATTTCATATAAATCTGAATGAAACCTAGTGTAAAGATCCAAAACTGAGGAAGAAATGTCATGTATTCAGACAGGTGTCGACGCTGGAACCGCGCAAGCAATTTCTTGCGCTAATGCGGCATTTCTCAAAATTGCGAGATGAGAATCCATATCGCTTAGAGCCTGATCAATAAATGCTAATTTTCTAGCATGACTTTTTGATACTCCATGCTTGGTTACAAGAGCCAAATGAGTAACAGCTAATACTAAAGCTGCTACTCTGGCTTCTAGAAGTCTTGCATCTAATGGAGGATATAAACTTCTGACCACATCATCCACACGTGGTGGAATACGTCTAGCAACCTAGAAGATACAAATTTAGTAGTATTGAAAATAAGTAGGTTGTATTAAAATACTTACATCAACTATTTCCAATGGGACAGTGTTACTGTTTACTGTTCCTGCAATAGCAGTAAGACTTGAAGCTAAAGCATGACAAGATCTTAACACAGCAATACACAGTGGAGCTAAACCAGTTGCATCGTCAACCCACCTACAGGATTAGTAATGTTGAAAAATCAACAGAAACTTAACTGTTAACTGAAACCTTTTAAAGACACATACCTTTCAGCACCAGCCAGCCATTCATCACTTTCCCACACATCTAAACCTAAGCCAGAAAATTTCTCTCCTTCTAATAAATCTGAGCTCAAGTCTGGAGAATCTTTTTGATTCTAAAATAAGATTACAGAAGAATTAAAAATTCATCTCATGATATTAATATAGTAAAGTACATACAACTTACATAATAACATCGTTGTCGTTTACAAATTACAAGTAAAACTAAAAGTGCTCCAAGAAAAATAGCAGCAAGTGCACCAAGTGCTACTGCTACCACTGTTTCCATACCAATAGCACCAGCTGTGGTACCAGTGTTGTTTATGGACACTGGTGAGCTCATCATTTGAACAAATTAGACAATGGAACAATTTTATCTAAATAAATCTTGAAATCAGTCGCAGAATCCTCTTAAAATGATCATGAATGTTACTTCATCTGTCAACAACAGTGTCGAGTTTCCCGGTGATAGTCGGTGGGAGGCGGAGACTGTCACGAATCTTAAGCTTCATTCATCAACAGATAATTCTTGGTTGTATCTATACCATGATGTTACATAATGCAAAGTTGATGCTAACAGGTGGTAACGTTTATATTGTTGTTGATCTATATTAAAACAAAATTGTAATCGATGTATTATTGGATATATAACATGCTCTGCTGCAACAAAATATACCTTTCCAACTAAATTTCATATCTATCAATCATGTTTGAGTAGTATTAAATATTTATAACATTCACATCATACTATTGTTTCCCTCTTTTTGCAATGCTGAAACCATAATATTGCTTATATTGTGTTCTACACGAAATTGCATTGACAGCTTTTTGTTCTTTCTGCGCATCTCCTCTGTTCGTTTCTATACACTTGTTAGATTTATGACAGTGTGGATGCACTCTTTTGACAATCGTGAGGCCAAAAGTATATACCCGGCGTGTTTCTTTCATCATATCCCTTCACCAGATAAACACTGGATCTTACTGCTCCTTTATTTTGCTCTACCACGTATATGACCACGAAGGTGAAAACAGTCTGTAGAGGTACATCGCAGTTATGATTAGAAGTCTCCCTACGTTGACGACCTACGTGAATGAAGGTTACTTTGGTGTACAATGAAGTATAGAATCAGAGTACGCAAAGAAGCGATTTGTCAATTGATCAAGCAACAATTAAACGCGTTATACTTCACGTACATGGCAGCACTGTAGAGAAATGTAATAATTCGGTGCATTTCATAGTCATATGTTTTCTGTCGTGAAAGAGTTGCTGTCAAATTTGGTGTTATTCGTGAATATTCTGTGAATGAATAAATATGATTCATCATGATTAATTTTTATATTTGCGAGGAGTTATTTTCTTCATAGTTCTGCATTTTTATTACTAAGTTTTGAAAAGAACGTAACCTGTTTTTTTAAATCGCCAACAACTCATTCCTCAGTTTGCTCAGGTTACTATAAACGGTAACATTTTTAACAAGGCACCTTATAGATAAAACACGTTGCAAAGTTGGTAAATCAAAATCTAAAATATTCCGTGGAAGATATCGTTCTGACGTATTTCTAAACCAGATTTAACCTATAAGTATTACAGTAAAAACTGAATTAAAAGATTTCACTAGGAAAGTAGTGAACAGAGAAACACTTCTTGAATTATAAAAAACACTTGTCAATTAGTCATATCTGTAATACACTCTGTAGTCGATATGAATAGAACAACAAATAGCGCAACAGCAAGACTTAAACAGGATTACTTACGTCTGAAAAAAGACCCTGTACCATACGTTCTTGCAGAACCTGTGCCATCAAATATATTAGAATGGTAGATATCATTATCATCTTCATCGATAGACTTGCTATGACAGTAAAATATAATTAATAAAATTGACTGTTATCTGTCATTTTTGCAGGCACTATGTAGTAAAAGGTCCAGAAAAAACCCCTTATGAAGGAGGATTTTATCATGGCAAACTTATATTTCCTGGAGAATTTCCATTCCAGCCTCCTAGCATTTATATGACTACTCCAAATGGTCGATTTAAAGTTAATACTAGACTATGTTTATCCATTTCTGATTTTCATCCTGACACATGGAATCCAGCATGGAGTGTATCTACTATTCTTACAGGACTACTTAGTTTTATGGTATTTAAATAATCATTAGTAATGAATTGAGGTTTAACCAAATTTACCATCTAATCATGACCATTTGTAATACTAGATTGAAAAGAGTCCAACGCTTGGGAGTATTAACACAACAGATTATGAAAAGAAACAGTTAGCTGCACAAAGTCTGGAATATAATTTAAAAGACAAAATGTTCTGTGAACTCTTTCCAGAAACTGTTGAGGTAGCAGGAATCTTTTTAATGCTTCTGTGATGTATTTATATATATTGCTATATAAATAAGTGAAATATTTATATGTTCTAGGTAATAAAAGCTGAATTAGAACACCGTAAAGAATTGGAAAAGCAGGCGAGGCATCAGTCTACGGCATCGGAAGTTTCGTCTTTGATACGCGACCAACTACAAAGAGAACAAAGTCCTTTGCATAGTGCTCTTACTAATCTCATTGTCATTATAGGGTTTGCAGCATTTGCTTATACAGTAAAATATGTATTGAGGAGCATTGCTATGGAATAAGTTACAAACGATATCCATAGCATTTGTCTCTGTTCTTTAGGTAAAATAAGAAAAACGAAAGTTGTGATAACAATGCGTGCAGATCTTGAGGAAAGGTGTTAGAAACTTGATCGAGAGATAGACTTCTAGAGTTCAATACGCCTGGTTGTCTATTGATTGAATTTATGTTGTACTACTCGACATCTTGATTTCGAATAAGCCAATATACCGTGGGTGTTTGATAGATTTTTATATAAAAGTTAATTGTAAAATACGCGTTGTACTATATTTGCAAATTTTAAACCTTATAGTTGCGAGTCAAGGGTAACTCAAGGGATTATCGTTAGAAACGAAAATTATCACTAAGTTTTTATCCGTTTCTGAGAGTTTAATGCTGTTGATTGATTCGAATCATTTTGATTAACACCATTGGCTTTGAATCGAGTTCTGTTACGCGAATTTCCAAAGCGTAGTTCACCAATGAACTATATTTAGTAATTATTTGGTAAATTATGAAAGGGAGAGAGGGAGAGAGTGAAAGAGATAGTATAATAACAAAAATCGTAGGGGCTTCCCACCATTACAATTGAATCACCAAACATCAAATAATCTTGCTACAATTTTCATACTTCGAAATTCTTTTTATATGTTCGTAACGGAATTTTGTCCTGACGATCCATCATAAAATCAAAGAAAAGAAAAGATACTGCACAAATGAAACAGTCGACGTATGCCTCTGCGATGTGCCAATAAAACTAAGTCGGAGTTTCTAACTGAATCGGACTAAGCTTAATAGAATATAGCTTATATCACAAAATAAAATATGCCGATCTTGTAAATACGTGTAGTAGGCTAGTAAGATACATGTAAAATCAGTGGATACGGATTTATCTTTAAAAAGAAAATATGAAATCGTTGTCAGTATTCATCGTTTAACTTATCTATGATCGCTGGAAAAAGAATCTTAAGAAAATGTATTCCAAATCTTGCTACTCAAAATATACACCTGTATTTTCAGTTTGCTCGAGAAACATTGGATATTTCATTCGGATTTTAAATTATAATTTAAGAAGTGGAACAGTTTTACTTTTTCATGATGCGTGTCCACTACAAGTGTTAAATAAACTGCAGCTTAATTGTAACTCGTACATTAACACTTTATATTATATTGTACCGAGTAATTAATTATTGATAAACTATATCAAGAATGCTAATGACAACGGAACCGAAAATAAAATCGGTAAAATTGACATTTATATTAAACAGAAAGAACAAACACGGAATCAGTTCTACTTATAAATTAAACAATGTAACAACTTTTATATACAAATGAAGAACGCTTATTTTTGTCTTCATTTTTTGCGGTTACCCATTTACAAAAATATTCTCATACCTTTCTTTTACAGTGGTATACAGGGTAAGTCAATTAATGTTGTAACGTCATATTAAACATGGTATTCACAGGACCACATGTATGTAAAACATATTAAATATTTTAACCTGAGCAACGATAGAACATTTTTAATTTCTAAAAGAGCGTGTTATACTTTCATTGTTAAATTCAAAAGTTTGAAATTTGCGCGCGCTTTTATCCATCAAAAAAAAAAAAAAAAATTCTTGAGAGCGCATGCGCGATTGGCGCCATCATCAATTAGTTCGTTTGAAAGCGAACGTTACGTTCGTAAAACTTTTTTATAAATATTATGTGATTTCCCTGAAAGAGAATCACTTTCTTTTTCAACTTTACAGCTCTGTTTAGGTTAAAGGTATATGTTTTCATCTTTATTTAGGTTAAAAATGATCTTATTATTGTTTGTCTTAATCAGTATTGAACGTACACAATTGTAAGTAAATTTTACTTCCATTTATGACTGAGTGTCTCTTTTTCTGTACAAAGTTGAGACCTGTACATGTACTGTGAATACAATATTATTAATAAATATGGAAAATCCAGTAATGTTGGCAACATATGAAATTTATAAATGATTGTTTTATCTCCCAACTGTAAGTACAATTTTGATCATAATACATAACGTCGTTAGATATCACATTCCAAATGTAATGTTTTCAGAACACATGAATTGTAGGGGATCATGGGAACTGTAGCGCTTGGTGCACGTCGTACTTATTGATGCACGTAAGATGAAGATAACTGTTTTATTTGAAGAATGATGCGTTCAAAAAATTAATTCGCAGTTTATCGATCGGAAACGAGAACATTCGTAAAGCAGTTCGAGGTTTACCGCGACGATAAACAGTTAGAATTTTCTTTGAATGACTCGTTGTCCGAGTGCGCTCGGGAGGAAGGATACATCCTGTGAATGTGCCTTTAACTTTCTTACCGGCACTGTGTTTTCTTGTTCCTGGACTGGGAGGCTCACACTGCAAATTCCACGTTTTGAAATAAGCAAAGACAATCAACTTACAGTCGCTTAGAACAATAAACGTGTACTTGAACAAACAATAGTATTATTATTCAACATTTGTTTGCTTCTCTAAGCAGATAATAGTTCATGTTTGGAACAAGACAAATGTAACAACTGAAATTAAAATTTTATATTTTTTTCCATTCAAAATTTCTGATATTTCCTTTAATATTTATTCAGATCTGGCTGTTGCATCTGCCATCCCGACTTCCTGTGAACCGCTGACACCAGAATCCACCATAATCCACAAAAACACACCGCAAAAGAAGCAAACAGCAATTTATTTGACCACGAGGAAGTCGTATTCTACTCCCATGCACAGCTTCCTCTTTCTGAGTCCACAATTTTGACCTCCCTTACCGATCTCTTTCTCCCTGGAAAACGCCCCTCAAGACTAAATCATTCAACTAGGCGCCAGGATAGTTTGGTCTCGCTTGAAATCCTGCGAAAATAAGATACACATGTCGGCGACGTGCTTTAAGTTATTTATTTAATTACATTAGTGTAAGTAAAGCCTCTCTTAGTTTCTCAAATACTTGCTTTGTACTTATGCTTTGTTCCATCACATCATTTCAGTTTCATGACCGTCTCGTCGCAATTGGTATCCAAATAGCGAGCAATATTTCTTTGATTTGCGAGTAGGATCAGCGGTCCTGTGTGCCTCACTATTTATATCGTGTAATAGCAAATTTGGAAGAGCTTGCACTACTCGTGACAATAAATCGCATTTACGATAAGCTGATTCTTGGTAAGGGATTTACAGAGCTATTCGATACCGGAAGTTACGACAACGTCCCCTTCCGTAATAAAATCACTGCCTCTTAGCACATAAAACCATACTGAAGTACTAAAAATAAGAATAGCTCGAAGAGGAATGAAATTATCTTGTTAATTGATTTTCTAATTACTCTGTACATTGCATAAGCTTTACGAAGCTGTTAAGACCGAAACAGGGAACAGTTCCATTATGAAATGGTTCAGGATGATTTAGAATCGTCGATCAATTCGGAGAACCGTTTGATGCTCTCATTTCCTGTCGCGAGGCGTAGCCAGAATCGCAGAGGACCGTTCATCCACATCGTCGATCTCCAAAAAAACTATCTTGGAAAATAATTAACTCGTGGGGACGAGCTCATTACGCGGCTTAATTAGCTGCCACTGGTATTCGTGTTCCTCGTGGCATGCGAGGGAAAGCCTGACTGGATCGGCTACCGAATGGCGACGATGTTCCGCCAAAGGAACCAGCCTTTTATTAACTTTTCCCCGCCTCTGGTTTCCAGTTGAGCCTGTTTCCTGAAATACTTTTCGCTGGAAATGGAAGCTATTTTTTTTTTCGTAAATAGATCTTGGTTTCAACGCTCCTTTAAACTCGTTTCGTACTTTGATAACCTCTTTATCAAGGACGCAGCTTTCTAAGATTTCCAACATCGGAGAACGTTTTGAAACCTCTCGAGTTTTGTTCCTTGATTCATGGCACCATGAGACAGTTTGCGGAGACCAATGTCCATCGAGGAAATCTGCAAGATTTCGCCAGTTTCTATTTCCATCCGCGTCTATCGGCGTTCAAGCATTACCAGCAGGGTGGTTTCTTCACTGGTGTATTTACCTACGTCCCGTTAGAGTGGCATAGCCCGTTGCAGAACGGTTTACTGCTGGCGTAAAACGGAGCACCGTGTCATTGGATCGCCTCTGTATATATGTATGTATATATACATATGTACGCCGAAAGAAGGGGAGGGTTGTGCCACTAACGACGGACGATTCATCATCCGAGGGAAAACGAAAGGAGTGACAGAAATTGCGGTGATTTAGTAGGAAAAGACAAAGAACAGATGTTAAGTCTCTCCGCTATGATTATCTGTTTCGTTCTTATCATTATCAAACATGTATCCGTCTTTCTGATTGTAAGGTGCAGAAACGAACAGATCTATATGTACAACAAGCACCTGGATTTTAAGTTCTAAAATTCTTGATATCATACAGGACCGGTATTCATTTTTTTTCATAATTCAATGATGATTCTAAAGTCATTACCTTATCTAAAGTGTACCTAACCTAACTAATTGTTACAGGTTCAGGAAAAAATTCTAATGTCTCAAAAAATGTGGAACACTGCTGCATCATTGAACATCTTTCTACCTCTGTCTATAACATCGCGATGGATCATGGAGGATTAAAAGATTGATACGTGTCCATGAAAAAGAAGAAGAAAGCGACGTACAAGCACGCACCGCCAGGATTTCCATCGGGTTCCCGCGTTCGTAAATAAACCGGTGGAGCGTGGTGGGTCGCTATGTTTAGTTTAGGTGGTTTCTCAGATTTCTGGGATCACCATGGGAGAATGTGACAGGTCTTCCAGCTACCGGTCGGCTGCTTTACGATCACGAGGTTACGCTATTAATTCTGTTGCTAGAGAGGGAAGACCAGATACTGTCCCTCGTTTCTTCCTCTTTTAAGGACCTTGATCCTCTTACTTCAAATTTCATTGGGACTTGTCAAAGTTTAAAACTACAGTCACATATGAATGCTGAACTTTTATAAAAACTGATAAACATTAAAGTTAGCTAAAATTTATGGGGAAGTCAACATAGCGTTTCAACTTGTTAATTAAAGGATCAAGAAACAGAGTTAATGTCGTATCTCGAAATTCCAAGTTGGAGGGGACCCTGCGGAGTTGAAAAGAGGTGGAGAAGGCAGAACAGGTCGAAGAGGTCGAAGCGAACATCCGGTGTTCGTGGATTGGTCGCGAGACGACTAGTTGACACGGTTTTTGGCCAATCGAGCCAAACTGGGCGTCGCTGGCCGCCGTTTCCTTGCAATAATATTTGCACTGGCTCGTCTAATCCATTAAGCCTGCCATCGGATGGCGTTTGGTAAATTATTTATCGGCTCTTCACCGACCCTGCCCCGCTCTTCCGCTCCCGCGTCTCTGATGTTCCTCTGAATTTACGATCTGGGAATATCCATACGTTTCGCGCTTCAATTCGTCGCGAGTATTTGCGTCGTTCTTTTTACTTGCGTCACGCGACGATGCCCTTTAAACTTTACAGACTTCCGTGACGTACTTCCGCTTCATTTACCGTACTGTTTGACACGTAAAGAATTTAGACCATTTCGTATTAAACATTCTTTGAATTAAAAAGGGAGGAAGTTAGAAAATTAGTGATGTTATTGGGATTATTGGGGACAGTTCTACAACGTGCTCGTGGCAATTAAAGACACAGAATGTAAAGTTCGTTGATAATTTTATTGCAAGTTTCGCAATCGATATAAAAATACTGTACATTAGAAAGACGCGCAAGTATATGCTGACGTAGTATTACAAATGCATATTGGCATCATTTATAGGAATGGAAATCCACGTGTTATATCGACTAAAATCGTAGGAATCAAAGAGACTTCCCTTCAGAAAGAGCTCTTGTAAAGTGTAACAAATGTATTTATCTCTTTTGAAAATTTGATTCGTGCCTGAGAATCGTTGAGAAACGAAAGATGTGCTGAATTTTGTTATTCTTATATTAGTCTAATAATACATGCATATTACAAATGTTCCTGTTATGTTGAATTTCATTAAAGATCTATAGAATGGTATTTACAAAATTTACAAGCTTAAGTTTGATAGCTTTTTAATGAAAAATAATAAATTATTGCGTTTTCCGGCCGCCATTGGAGCTAAAGAAGCTTAACTTAATTCTAAGATAAAAATATACATTATGTATTATGGTACAGTCTCTTCCTTAAAACATAACTTAAGAACTACATTAACAGCCTACTGTACAGAATTTTTGGTTTGCTTAGCTGTATGTCCAAGGCACATGAAAGGCACTTGAATGTTTATGATAAAAAGAGGTATTTTACTATAATATAAGATTTTTACAAGAGAATGGAAGATTTAGTAATCTCGAGTCTTTGGTTTCTAATATCTACAGTGTTCTTTAGAATACTCTGCTATGAATAGCTTCACATTTACCATAAGATTTAATTTTTTGCGAATAAAAATACTCGAGATTATTTTACACGAGAAAAATAAAATCTTTGGTTCCAATCTAAAATTAATTACGAAAAACCAATACGATAGTTCTTTGGTTGTATTTTGCACTAGCAGTATAAAAATTTTGTAACCATTAATTGCAACCTTAATTCACATCACAAAATTAAGGACCTTGAACATCTTAGAAATGTATTGATCAGAATAATTAGAGTTAATTTCAATTTTGATTAAACTAACTAACTTATGTTGAGTATAATTCTCTGATTATTCTGATCAACCCTAATATTCATTGGATCCTTTAAGCTCTGAAATATAAATTACTTTCTCGAATAATTACATGTCATTAACAAGATTAAATAATTAATTAAAATACTTTCATTACAGAGAAACTTGCCCATTGAATAGACGAAGGAGAAATGTTTTGAGGCATATGTCACGCTCCCTACAGTCAACGGAGAACCGCGAAATCATCAGGAATCCATTATCGAGATTGTAAATCCCCGATAAAGCGCTGTCAAACATTGTTTCGAGCATGTTGGCAGGCGAAACGAAGCTACGACAGCGATTGTCACTCGGCCAGCCGTCTCTGGAGCTATATTTTTAGTTGAGCGCGGAATACTGGCAATTATGTGCGTTTTAGGGTCAAAAAAGACTTTTCGTATCGTTCTTGGATGTCTGTGGTTACACAGATCTTCATGAACCAGCTGTTCTATATATCTTCTGTTCACAATTCTTTGCAAAAGAGTTTGTATTGCAACAAATAATTGGAGAGGCTGATTTTTAAGCTAACAAGAAAACTTTTATGATTCAGCTTTGATAATTATTTTTTTCTTTCTATGTTATAGTTAAGGCTCTCTGTGATGTAATGTAAGATACTTGTAATAGTGTACAGAAAGAATGCTATAAGATTCAAAAATTGATCTATGAATGTTGGAAAGCATCTGAGCATCTTGGTTCTGCAAGAAAATGTCAGACTTTCTAGCTAATTGAATTGAAAGAGATATATGGCTGGCAGGGTGGTCACAAAAATGAATATTCATGTGGCTGTCGCATCAGTGAAACTTTGATAAATGTTTATCCTTGTGATTAAGATCATAATTAACATTTTAGATGCATTTCAACTAAAGTATTTTTACTTTCAGATAATTCAATAACTTCAGCAAGAGTCCAGTTTGAAGGTACAAATAGAGAATCAATCAAACTTGTACCAGAAGGGAATGTAAGACACTGATGGCACCTCGTTTGGAAGATGGCTTTTTTCAAGAAGATTCAGTGCCGCAATAAAGAGGATGGCGGATTTAACGTAGCGTATCTTCGTTAAGCGAGTCAAACCCGGCTCAAACTTTTCCTTCTTGCCTTCTCGGTTTAAAATAACCGGCTGCGTTCGAAACATTCACGCGGAAAGTCAGCAAAAACGTGGAGGAACGAATATCGAACCCCATGATTCTCGGAGGATTGCAGTTCTTTGAAAAAATGGTAGAAGAAAAACAATATTCTGACCGACCTGTAGGCGCCAAAATGCTCATTAATGCTCATCTCCCCGTTGTTTTGTTTAAGTTTTGTCTAACCGTCGGGACCAGTTAGAGCTTGTTTCCATAACGTCGAGACGCTAGCTCATCCTGGCTCGTAAAAGAAGCAAAAAAAACTCGTAAAATTGTAGCAACGACGCTACTGTCTGCCCTACTCATGGGAAAGAAACATGCTGCCTCGGAACCTCCAATTACAGACTTCAAATTTAAGATATAATCAATTCTATGGAGAAATCTTGGTGGAAGTTTATAACTTTAGAATTTTCAAGAATTCAGTAGATAATTTTCTGTCGAAGAAGCGTTATTTGTATAGCACGCGACCAGGTCGACGATTTTCCTGATAAATGCAAGCTTTAGAAGCCATAAATTTACCCTAACGGATTCGTCACTGCTTCGAGGGGTAAAGTGGCAAGGGAAAATCATTGGGGAATCCCAGCAATAATCGTCTATTCAACAGCCTCATTGTACGTGGAGGTCCTCCTTCACATATTTGTACGGAAATATTTTGAAAGAAATACTGTTTTTGTCTTTCCATTTGAAAAAGAATTTCTATTGATTTTTTACAGCTTCTATATTGTATTTATATTTTCAGATTTCTCTACTAAAAATTAAACCTTCCAAAATGAATCCACATCTAAGAAGATTCTTCTAAAGACTAATGACTTAAAATATTTGGAACAAGAAACAATTTAATAAGAAATGTCAACTATTACTAACAAAGAAACAACTGTCTACTCCAGATTCATCTGACAACAAATTAAATACAGAAAAGAAGGGAGCGTGACAGTCTCTGTACTAATATTCTTTGGTCCAGGCTGTTCTCAAAATATATCAAATACCAACATCAAGTTACTTGAATATTCATCAATAATAAAATATTCTTTGGTTCAGTATCATACTAATTGCAACATAGTTTTCAGACTTTCATATCTTTGAGAATCTTATATGGTACAATTTCTCCAAGTTCTAGTATTCTAGATCAGTTTGTAAAGTTCAAAATTTACTTGGAAAAACTACTACCAAGAAACTCCACTGAATTTCCCAAGTGACTCCTCCATTGTGAAGTTACAATAATTGTCTTTTAGCAAGTAATCACTGTTGAACTGCAACAGCAATTTCGATATTTTCGAACCAGCGAAAATAGGAAATCGACGCTTGTATTCTCGCCCACTGTAACCTCTTACTAAATCTACCTACTTCTCAGGTAAGAAGAATAGTATTCTTCATATGTTCGAGTTCCAGTCGTCTTCCATTCTCCAGACACTAAATGCGTAGGACAGTTTTTCGTGGGCCATGTAGCTGCACGAAGACGAAGTTATTTCTCTGGCTGCCAAGACTGCACTTCTTGAATTTCTTTCACCTGGAAGCAGAGGGAAGACTCTCATTAATCTCAGGATTCTCATTTTTAATAATAATGTAAAAGTGCAAAGTTAGGAGTTAATGTGCAAAGTTAGGAGGTAATTAAAATATTCTAACATTCTTGAGGTATCAAATAGAAGATGTAATATCGGTTTTCATTAGAAATATTTTTAAATTTTTCAGGGGTCACCAATTAAATCAATGTAAATTAAATCTTGGTGAACCAAAGAAGAACATGGTGAGGCAGATATCAAGCAAAGGAAGAACAAAGACGGTGTTGAAACCAATTGGTGTCGGTTTCAAGATTGTCAGCGTGTTAGATCTCTTTAATCACCTGAAGTTATGGTACACCGTCGCCACTTCACCAGCACTTGTACCATGTCAACCACTGATTAAGATATCAGATACACGAGAATCTTCGAATCCTCTTGTCTGTACTATCGATACAAGTTTTTTTCTTCAGAACCCGACGTCTCAAATTCAAGGAAAGTTTGCGATAACCGAGGTGAATCCCTTGTGTAAATTTATACGAAAACGTTTCAGTTTCGAGAGCCGAGTCTATTTTAAATTCGTCCCTTTTTATTTTGGAGAGTCCTCAGGATACAAATCCTTTTTGTATAATTCACCGAGGGTCTTAGGGCTGATATAAGCTACCGTGTTTACCTAACCACCGGTTTGTAAATACTATTCAGTCGACGACAAATTGAGTCGAGTGGGAAAAGTGTTTACCTGAAGGCTAGGTTTTGGTGTAAGGGCTACCGGGATGACAGGGTTAGCGTGTTTTCTAGCATTCGAATCGGAAGATCTTCGCTTCCAGGGGGTCTGTTTAATTATGCTGTACTTTAAACAAACGAGAGCTACTTTATAAACACGCGCTCTAGATTCCGACGGAGACAGACTCTTCAACGACTTGGCATCGAAATTGAAAGACTTAGAATATTTTAATGCAACTATGTCAGCTAAATTTTGTAAAACTGCATAACTGACAAGTTCTGCAAACTTGCAAATGAACAATTCTTTTTTTATAATAATAAACTTACCATTGTCGTCTGTGCTGTCAGTGTTCTCCATGTTGCAGTGCAACACCTGGAACAGGAAGTCGATGTACCTAGTGGCCAACTTCAACGTCTGAATCTTGCTCAACTTGTCACTGGGCAACGTCGGTATGATTTTCCTCAAAGCAGCGAACGCCTCGTTCAAGCTCTGCGTCCTCTGTCTCTCCCTGACGTTGGCCATCACCCTTTGGTTCTGAATCTCCTCAAAGGTAGCGCCGCTCTTTCTCCTCACCTTGCTCTTCGTCGAGGAGGCATTGCTGTCCGTCTCGGACTCGTTCTCGATGCTGCTGGTCTTCCTTTTCCTCTTGCCTCCGTTCCTGGATCCCTCGACCGCGTAACTTTTGGTCGAGGACGAAGGTTCGCTGATCTGACTCATCTCGAGTTGCTTATACCTCTGTTGATCGACGTCCGGTTTATATTCCAACACGTCAGGCTTGTACTCGACAGAGTCCACGTGGTGGTAGCCTTGTTGCGACTGTCTGGACACGATTTCCTCGCCACCGGAAGAATACATCTGCGGAGACGGAGTCAGATAAAGGTTCTGCTCGTGGTCCCGACTGTGATCGGACAGGAAACCTGGGGAATTGTCGTGGATACGCCTGTCGTAGTCCGTCTGGAGGTCCCTTAAGACTTTCCCGTTGGGATGCTCCGGATACCTCTTCTCGTCCTCCGGGTTCTCGTACATCAGGTAGGTGGGTTGCTGGTATATCATCTGATGATGATGATGGTGATGATGAGTCTGGTATCCTGGCAGGTCCCTGTGTTCCGGAGGACTGCTGAGGTCCATCAGATGCGTTGGCGGAGAGAATCGCTCATAATGGTCGGGAGAGTTACTGGCCGAACTGCCGGCACTGTGAGGGATCCCAGAACTGTCGTGGCTGTCCAGTAGGTAGAGACCCTGGATCCTCTGCGTCTGGAGACTCACTGGCTGCGTGGTTTGCATGGTGACTGATCCTCGCCTCTTCAGCTGATCAATGCTCGGACACAATCATCACCACAGTCACTAACTTCTGATATGTCGCTGTCACTTTCAGCTATGCTAAACTTAGACTCGTTTCAGAAAGTTACTGTCAGAGAATGGACACTTGGGACACCGACTCAACTGAGGTTATTCGAGCAGGTTTATCACCGACACGTCTCTGCTCGAGGATGCGGACTCGTCTGAAGGAACTGGACCTCGGTCTGCCTCTTCATGTCAAGAAAGAACCCCGCCTCCGAGCATGGAGCTGCACCCCTACCCTCCTTCGCATAGTTGTATTCCCCTACCTGGACCTTAACCCTCCCTTCCCCTCCTACGCAGCCCCACCATGGTCACTGGACGGTTTCTTTTATCCGCCGCATCTGTCTAGTCCCCACCCACGAATGCATGCTCATGGAAAGAAAGGGAAGAAGCGAAAGAACGTTGCTAACTAAAGGGAGGTGGAGTGTGCTGATCGAGGAGGGAGAAATCGGGGAGATACAATGTTGTAAAAGGGAGGATAGGGGAGGGAAGATGCTATGATGCTAAGGTACAATTCGTTACCTTGGTTTTTTACATATTCGTTCATGAATTACCTAAATTAATTTCAATATTATATTATTCTTATAATTTTTAATAATTTGTTCTTCATTCTTCTCTGTTCAACAAGTGTTTTCTTCTTTTTTAGTCACTGTGGACCTTTGCTTTTTTAAACAAATCTATGATTTCTTGTGATCGATATAAACTTGATGAGCTCTCAAAGAGAAAGAATATTCCTTTCTGTAATTTGGAATGATCGACCATCTCTGGGAAGAAAGAATTCGCCGGTTGAACTTGTAACGTTTAAGAGAGAGATGGAGCATCAAGAGCAGCAGGAGAGAAAAGGGTGGAACGTAGGAGAAGGATGGAAGCTTGAGGGACGACCCATGTTGAATATTTATATCGTGAGGAGCCAGTGAGAATAAAGCGAGGGATCGCGTGGAACAGGCTCCGATCTGCGAATCTTCGTATTTGCATACCATGAAATGGCGCGAAAACCTGCGAATCTCGTGCATGCCAATTGAAAAACGAACGCTTGATCACAAAGTTGCCGCAATAATTTATCCTGAAGCTTGCTTATACATTTCGATGTCAATGTAATTGTTGGGAATTAGAATTTTCACTTAAGGTTCATCCTATATCTGGCCAAGATATCTGAATAAATTCCAGTCAAAGTTTACTTTTAGTTCTAGAACTAATTTAGCAGTGACTCCAAAATTGAGCAAGCAGTTAACAATCTTGTTCAATAATTTAATGTTAAGAAAAGCAAGGTTACATTTTATCGGACAGAAGCAGTTTTCACAAGATTATGAATTGAAGCAACAGAGCAATTAACAATCCTGATAAATCCGTCGACCTAGACGCTTTCAAGTATCTAAACAAGAACCTCCACGAGGCAAGCGAGTAACAAAGGTGCAAATTGATGCATTAAATATTGGCGTCGGGACGTTTTAATCTGAAATAGAAGCGGAGAGGCTGGTATTTTCCGGTTGGAAATTAATGCATGTAGCGTGGAACGATTCGAAATCTCAGCGTGGCGAACAGCTTGATGGATGACCGAGCTGGATTGCCGGGACGTGTTTGTTGTGACGGACGAAAGCTCTTTTGAAGGTGTCTATAAATTCCGCGTTTCGAGCTTTCACGAGGTTCTCCACGCTTTTCCTCTCCTCGTGATTTACCATTATTTCCTACCACCTTGTTCCACGGAAATTTCATAGGGAACCTTCTTAATAAGGCTTTACTCCATAACAAAATTTTTAGATATTTAATCTTATGAGTAAATGCAAATATGCATACAGTTATATGTTCACTCTAAGTCATATTATATGTTCCTGAAGAACTTTGAAACTTATGAGTGAATGGAAATATGAATACAGTTATAAGTTCACTCTAAGTCATGATACATGTTCCTGAAGAGCTTTGAAACTTATAAGTGAATGGAAATATGAATACAGTTATAAGTTCACTCTAAGTCATGATACATGTTCCTGAAGAGCTTTGAAACTTATAAGTGAATGGAAATATGAATACAGTTATAAGTTCACTCTAAGTCATGATACATGTTCCTGAAGAGCTTTGAAACTTATAAGTGAATGGAAATATGAATACAGTTATAAGTTCACTCTAAGTCATGATACATGTTCCTGAAGAGCTTTGAAACTTATAAGTGAATGGAAATATGAATACAGTTATAAGTTCACTCTAAGTCATGATACATGTTCCTGAAGAGCTTTGAAACTTATAAGTGAATGGAAATTCCTGAAGAACTTTGAAACTTATGAAGAACTTTGAAACTTATGAGTGAATGGAAATATGAATACAGTTATAAGTTCACTCTAAGTCATATTACATGTTCCTGAAGAACTTTGAAACTTATGAGTGAATGGAAATATGAATACAGTTATAAGTTCACTCTAAGTCATATTATATGTTCCTGAAGAACTTTGAAACTTATGAGTGAATGGAAATATGAATACAGTTATAAGTTCACTCTAAGTCATATTACATGTTCCTGAAGAACTTTGAAACTTATGAGTGAATGGAAATATGAATACAGTTATAAGTTCACTCTAAGTCATATTACATGTTCCTGAAGAACTTTGAAACTTATGAGTGAATGTAAATATGAATACAGTTATAAGTTCAGTCTAAGTCATGATATGTTCCTGAAGAACTTTGAAACTTCTAAGAATGTTTAATCTCGATTAACATTCAGTAAATTGAAATTTATATAGAATTGTAATACGTTAATTGTAAGTGATATCTACGATAGTAATACGTTTAACATAGAATTGTAACTGAAAGGTACTTTCTGTTGCTTTCAGCGAGTGGAGCTTCAGGTTTGTCGTCGACGTCGAAACGCGTTCATCGAAAGTGAAGACATTAGCAAGCTTCATCATCTCTCGTTCGTTTCTGAGAAATGAAACGACCAACAGAAAATCTGTATTCTGGCTCGTGGCCAAAGGAAAATCAGATCGCCAATAAAGAGGCCGATAAACAACGCGGCCAAACACCAAAATAATACTCGATGCTGATCAAAGTCGAATAACTCGCGGCGTCTTCTCGACCTCGTGTGTCAAGCCACTTCCTTAAAACATGAAATTACTATACGATACATTTCGACCCCGTTTTCGACTCATTTTCGAACGAGTCTTGGCAAACTGTCTCTGGGAAAATTTGCTCCAGCGCCGATGAAGAATGAGCCTCGATTCATTTTCTGAGATCTTCAACGTTTCAGTTTCACATTGTAGAAGAAAGTCATTTTATGTCTATAATTAAGGATGTCTAAGAATGTAGAGTTTGAAAATGTTAAAAGTTAGAATATTACAATTGTAATTGCTTCTGAAAGCGACTCAAGGTTTTGTGGGCAAATAAACTGGTCGACAATTTGCAGGAGACAGAATTGAATGAGCATCGCTATTCACAGCCTTCCTGAACATCGTACGCGACATTCGAAGGGTTGTGCACGTGCACGCGATTCTGCCTCATGCACCGTTTCACGATATTAACGTGGGCTTAATTGCGCGTGTTGGGTCCCGTTTAATCGCTGCATGCGACTGTGTGTCCCGTGTACTACTTCAGGTTCAAAGTTTCTGTGTTGTGGCCTCCACTTTTTGCTGGTAAGAAATTTTTGTCTGTGCACAATTTTCTCTGAATTATAAGGTTCCTCATTTACAGAATTTACAAAGGAAGAAGATTGTCTATTTACCAAAACATAATTAATTATACAAGCATAACAGCTGCCTGTTAGGACACGAATAAGGTATAATAAAATAATTATGAGAAATCTTGAAAAGTTATCAAATAATATGTACATGCTTTTACATAGTTTTCTTCGACATGAGGCAACGTATTTCCCCACGTACCTGTTGTCCCAACACCTTATTTGCACCAGCTCCAGTGATTAAGAGTAGTGAGTGTACACCGGTTCCAAAAGAGACGGCGGATCAACACGTGAAATCCGTTTTCATGAGAATTTATGAATCAGGTAGTTTACAACGGTGACAAAGTGGAAGGTGGCCAATTTTCCAGGTTCAATTCGGCCACCAGCAAAGCAATTAGCACCTGGGGAGAGATTACCACCTCTAAGTCTCCCTCACTCATGCTGGTAAAAGGGGCGCCGGCCCTTCCACCGATTGACCATCTGGTCGTTTTATGATGGGGAATCCCCAGGATTTCTACGGAATTAAGACCTAAGGTGACCTGTAATCTCGTTACTTTTTTCAACTGGCAAAAAGACAACTAGCTCCAGAACGTTTGAACGTTTCAACTCTCTCAGGTAAATTGGATAGTTGAGGATTAAAGTCAAGTTTATTCTGCAAGATCTAATAAGATAATATTTATAGCACAAAAATAATTCTCCAACAATATCCTATGCTTTATTATATGTTAAAGAAGTAAAATTTTTATTTTGTATCATGGAAATTATTTTTATAATTATACATTAATTTCATTTACTGATGACAACCTTACATTACATTGATAATATTATATTTTCAGGGTGATGAGCAAGATGTAGTTTGAAAATAGAAGAATTAATAACGAGATCTTTGCATGTCAGACAGAATTCCTTGCGTTTATGCGAGCCATCGTCAACTTGCACAACATACTCTCAGGTCTAGCGTTTATGGTAGCCTTTGAAGGATGGAACAGTGTAGCAATAGTCGTAGGATGGTGCCCCATGTGTCACTATTTGGTCGACCGTGCCGTTGGAAAATTTGCATTTACGAGCTGAACGGCAACCCGGAACATGTGTTCGCGACCCACCGAAAACTGACGGTCAAAACACATGTTCGCCTCGGAAAAAGGTGAAAGTCTTTGATGAGACCGCGATGAAAATTTGCAAGGTTACTGGAAGACAGTGGTGATCATCCTCTCATAAACTCCTACCTTCAATTGTTGCATAATTATTCATAAACATTTTTGAGTCAATGATTAAGTCAACAATTTCTTGCTTAATTCAAACAGTTACTATTTCTAAATGAGAACTTCATTTTTATCTCAACTCTGATTATTTGTACATCTTCTAAAAAAAATATTTAACTCTAATATTTGGCAGTGAATAAGATTAATTCATGAAATTGGATATTAATTTATATTTTATTTTGCTTCAGTATTTTAAGGAAGTAGATGTTGTATGAAAGTCACTGTCATTCACTTGCAAAATCTTTTTTAGGCTAACAAGAAGAACGTGTCCCCGCGTACGGTGCTCTTTTACCTCTCGGCCTTATTGCTCCTCGTGGATGCCGTGTGTTCGACACATGGCGAAGATGGTACCGGTGCAAACATTGTAGAAGCTATCTGTCGGCGCGGATCGTAAAGGCAGCAGCGTTTATAATGCGTACAGCCTAGCCCAGGGACACTTTCCGAGCAGCACGTGGGCAATAATGTTAGCCGAGAAGCCATAGGCGATATTGTCGTGGATATTT